CCCGCCGCCGTTCTTCAGCTCCTCCTGCCGCTTCTCCGCCGCCTCCACGACGGCCTGCCACCGGCGGCGGCGCTCCTCCTTCTCCTTCTTGTCCATCTCCGGCTTCAGCGCCAGGTACTCGGCCAGCGCCTTGGCCTCGTTGACGGTGCGGAGCCGCCGGCCGTCGAGGTTGCGGCTGGAGCCGTTGTCGTCGCCTTGATTGCGCTTGCGCTTGCTCGACATGCGCCCGCCGGCGGCGCGCAGCTGGGATCCGAAACCACCCTTGCCTCCGCAGAGGGGCACGCTGAGTCGGAGGGGGAGAAGGAGGGATGTGGCGGTGGTGGTGGTGGCGTCATTATTGGAGCTGCTGGCCAGATAAGGGAGGAGCGGTTCGGCGGAGGGGAGGAGTTGTTTGTTGTTCGTGGTCGTCAGGATCAAGGAGTGGAGTGGGATCGAAGGCGGGAGGTATGACGAGATCTTATCCGTGAGATCGGCGAGACTCGAGGCTGAGGACAGCGAGAAAGTGACCGTGGAGGGGAGTGAGAGTCCCGGGAAGGATGAAAGGAGCACGTTGATGTTTTGGGGCGCCATGTTGTTTGTAGGTTAAGCCGCGCGTAATATGTAACAGACTGATATGGGGTTCCGCGATGCGAAGAAAGATGAGATGAGCAGAAACTCAGCCCTAGCGACAGGTGCTCAAGGTGGAGTCGAGGTTCGATCTGACCGGGCGAGAGGCGCTGCTTGCTGAGCGGAGGTCTAGAAGTAATAACGCAATGCGGAGAGTTTCCCCCCGATAAGAGCGGATCAATGACTAATTGCCCGTCCACTACGCGGCCTCAGGCCTCCGGGCACGTGATGCATGTAGCACACGTGACGTCGCCTTATCCAGCTAGCGGAAATCGATTAGGGCGACAACCCTACAAGCGCATCCCGATTGGGAATCACCGCACTTTTTCCACTCGACGGGCAGCCCGCTCCACTCAACATCAACTACTCTTAAACCACCCTCTTCGCGCGTTGTTAGAGCGATTCCCCGAAGAGCGCCAGGAACTCGCAACAATGTGCGTACAGCCCCTTTGGTTCACGATGCGCGATGTCAATGATGACCTGAACCCCGACTAACCCTCCCTCGCAGGCTTATCCCCAAGGAAGACCGCAAGAAGATCCACGAGTACCTCTTCCGCGGTATGTGATTCCTCATTCTCGCCCTTTTGTCGCGTCCTCCCAAGTCCCTCGAGATAGGATAGATATTCGCATGGACTTGGTGTCTCTCTCGATTCACTATTCCACCTTATGTCATTGCCGTCTCGATGTGGATGTGTGGAGGGTTGTTGACGAGTCGAACGAATGAGGATGGCGGTTTACTGACGAAATCTTCTCAACAGAGGGTGTGCTCGTGGCCAAGAAGGACTTCAACCTTCCCAAGCATGGCGACATTGACACCAAGAACCTCTACGTGATCAAGGCCCTCCAGTCCCTTGACTCCCGCGGTTACGTCAAGACCCGCTTCTCGTGGCAGTACTACTACTACACCCTCACCCCCGAGGTATGTTTCTCTCGTTTGCCTTCCTCAAAACCATAAAGAACCACGATCTAATGTGTTTTCCGTTTTCAGGGTCTTGACTACCTCCGCGAGTGGCTCCACCTCCCCGCCGAGGTTGTGCCCGCTACCCACATCAAGCAGCAGCGTTCCCACGCTCCCCCCCGTGGCATGATGGGTGGTGAGGAGCGCGAGCGCCGTCCCCGTGCTCCCCGTGAGGGTGGCTACCGCCGCCGCGAGCAGGGTGAGAACAAGGAGGGCGGTGCCCCCGGCGAGTTCGCCCCTAGCTTCCGTGGTGGCTTCGGCCGTGGCCGTGGTGCTCCCTCCTCCTAGAGGAATGTCGCCTGCAGGTCTTCCAAGGGCTACACGGGATGTTGCTAGTGTGGCTTGAGTAGACGTCCAGTCAGAAATTGCCGCACTACGCACTTCTCCACCCAAAATCAAAAAGGGATTATGCCTGGCTTTACTGTCTCGATACCATGAAATAGTTAGGATTAATGGCATGATTCACGACTTCACTCTCTGTTCCTTTTTAAACGTAAAATGACCGTTTCGATGGTCAAGACGATGGGTTATGCCCGTTTGTTCTGACTCAACACAGTATAAGAGGTCTAGGTGGTGTTTTCCAAACTAGCTGGAGAACCTCTTACGGTCGTAGCGGATAACAGCCTGCAAGATGACTGAGGCGCCGGTTGCACAATCATCTGCCGAGCAGAACTCTTCCGGATGATGGCTCAGCCCGTCTTTGCACGGCACGAAGATCATGCTAGTCGGAACCCTCTTCGAGGTAAAGACACTGTCGTGGCCGGCACCACTCATGATCGTTCTTGTCAGAGACTTGGGGTCTGTCGAGTCAGAATCCGCAACGACTGCTTCTGCAGATTGCTGAACGCAATCGATGCAGTCCGGGTGGAACTTCACCACAGGCGAATCAAAGTCCAGAGTCCATTCCACGCGACAAGGCTTCCCAATGGGTTTACCTTCTTCCGCTGCGATAGCGTCGAAGTCCTTCCTCAATTGCTTTTCCACAACATTGACCAATTCATCCTCTGGGCCGCGGATATCCAGAGTGAAGCTGACGACTCCAGGGACGGTGTTCACGCTGCCGGGCTTAGCCTCCACGATGCCAACACTGGCCAGGCACCCATGAGAGGAAGCAACCTCGCGTGCACGCACCATCATCTGGGCGAAAGCATACAAGGCATCTGCACGATGCTCAAAAGCGGTAGTACCCGTATGGGTATCTCTGCCGACAATGGTGAGGCGGAACCAGCGGTATGCTTGGACGGCTGTGACGACGCCTACGTGCTGGCCTGCAGTCTCGAGATGAGGCCCTTGTTCGATATGCAGCTCGAAGTGAGCAGCCATTGGAGTCTGCTTGTATGAACATGGCACACTTCCAAGATAGTCGATCTTCTCAAGTGCCGATCTCATGGTCTCGGGGGCCGACGACGCCGTGGGTAGAGATGCAACCGTTGGGACTTCCTTGAGCTCGTGGGCTTGCGACAGAGGGATACATTCAGCCCATACTCCAGACGAGATCATGCTGATAGGGAACCGTGCGCCTTCTTCGCTATTATACCCATCAGCGCAAGCCTTAAAGTGAAGGAAGGTCGGTGCCATACTTAGTCCAGTTGACCACGCCTACACCACCCTCTGTCTCAAGACCCATGTCGTCCATGGACTTCAACGCTTCGATGCCGGAAAGGACACCCAATATTCCATCGTAACGGCCGCCCGTCGGTTGCGTATCTAGATGGCTGCCGATAAAGACAGGGGGCACATCTGTCCTGCGCCCAGGACGAACTGCAAAGATGTTCCCCATCTCGTCGATGGTGACCCGACAGTTGAGGGCTTTTGTTGTTTCGATGAACCAATCCCTCACTTGCTTGTCCTCTTGCGACAATGCCAGGCGCTGCATTCCTGTATCCGTGGGGCCACTATTCCAAATGGTCAGCTCAGTTGTTTTCATGCTCGCAAGCTGATGGACGGCTATTGCTTGATGGGATTGGAGTAGGCTGTTCTCATCCCATACGGCGCGCGACCGCTAATCCGAAGTACTGTGCTCGCAAATGGATGGTCTGGTACTCACTCTCCCCATCGAATGCCCGAGCCCCATTGACAGCTGTGGTGAAGGTCCCTGGCCAGGCGATCTTTATTGGCTCGAAGAGCTGAGACTTGAGCCTCGGTCAGCTCCGTAGACAACATGGCTTGCTTCCTTGAGACAGAAAAGTGTCGACGTGGGTTTGTCCGAATGATCCTCGACGAGAGTAGCGTGGGCTGTATGAGCGCAAATCTCACTAGCCTAGCAAGAGTTGGTGTATAGACCTGGGAGCGAATCATGCTGCGCATCTCGAGCGACAATGGAGGGTTTATGTACTCAGCACTTGGGTCCCCTCATTGTCCAGTGAATGTCTTGATAAGAGAGGATCCCGATAAGATAGCGAGCTGCCATGCTGCGGGGGTGGCAGTCTCGGTCTTCCTGCCGAATCATATGCCTGCTGATACCTCTCGGCAAAGACCGTATGTAGACTATGTCACCTTAGTGGAGAGCGACTGGGGGTCCTTCTGGCAGGTCTATCGTATAGGCCAACCGTTTTGGGTGGTAAGTTAGTGTACGGGACCGAGTTCACGCAAAAGACCCAGTGCTATCAAAAGACTTAAACCCGCTAAGGCAGGTGCTGCCGAATGGAGTTTGGAAGACTAGAACAGAATCCGTGCACTTAACTCTGCCCCGTACTGTGTTAATCTGATCCACCCAGTTCTTATGGGTCAGCATGACCGTAGAGGGACTGAAAGACGCGTAGGATAGAAGACACCATCATGAAATGTACGAGTGGTACATGGTCGTCCCTGGCAAGGTTCTCGGTGGCTTGAGTCGCATATGCCAGACCATCGATGACACGGAGCAAAGTCAATGCTTGAAGCTGGAGTAATAGTCGGTAATTGAGACGGAAGGTTGAATTGTCCCAAACAACTCTCTAGACAGAAAAAAAGACTGCTGCGCTATGCGTAGCGAGCGCCGTACTCATAAGGTATGCTATGCTGGCAGCCGCAGTGCGGCGACTGCCCATAGAGCTGACGTTACGCCCACCGACCTCAAAACCAAACGACACGCACCGCAACCCCCCAGAACAACCCTTTCCAGGGGTTATAAAATTCCGGAAAAACCAGAATCCTGCTAAGACCCCCATGACAAGTCCATTGCCCGAGGAAAACAAAAACAACAAATTCGACAGCTGTGTCGATGGAAGAGTCCAAAGATTGAGAAGAGGAGTCTTTTGGGCAAACCACGGCCATCTCTGGTAAAAGGCAAGAAATGGGTTCTGAGCTAGTTTGTCCCACTCCTCGGAGGTTGGCACTTATTGTATCCTATATGTTACTTTTTCTCAATGCCTACCAGCGTTCGATCCGCGGTCCGCGCTTTTCTTTTATCTTTTCCTCGGTTTCGACCCCCCTTCCCCTCCCCGTCGCGTTCCGCCTTCAGACCAGACTTGCTTGACCCCGCATTCTGTCATCACGACTCTTGCTCCCAAACAACTCCACGCATTCCGAGCTTCGCACTCCGCGCATATACAGCAAAATGTCTGCGGCCTGTATCTTCTGCAAGATCATCAAGGGTAAATTTGCCAGCTACATCCCGATACGCGATATCAAACCAACATTGGTTACTCCTCCGACACGACCTGTATTCAAATAGCTAGCTAACGAACGGTATGAACAATAGGTGATATCCCTTCGTTCAAGCTCTTCGAGAGCGACAAGGTCTTCGCCTTCCTTGACATCCAGCCCCTTAGCAAGGGCCACGCGGTGAGTATCATCTATGCAAATCTCATCACCAATGACAAGAGCATCAACCCCGCACCGTCGTCTCGTTCACACGAACCCAACAAGATAAGCATGAGCCATCGGAGCCAAGCTACCTATCCCTCCCAACAATCCCATCTCTCCTCGAGCTCATATCCCTCAATTCACACAAATGTAAACAAGAAAGTAAACCCGTTAACCAGTTAATCCATGCAACTAGCTCGTCATCCCCAAGTACCACGGAGCGAAGCTCACCGACATCCCCGACGACCACCTCCAAGAACTCCTGGTAAGTTGAAGACTCGCAACCGGGGAGACCGGGGAAAAAGTGCACCAGGGTGTTCCAAACGCAAAGAGATTCGCCTGTTTGAAAAGGGCTGCAACCCTCCGGGGACCTTGGAGACGCACAGCAACCCCCCACCCCCCTCACCCATACGCTACGCTGGCTATGTAACCCCTGGCACGCTCGCAGACGATCTCCATTGCTTTGCCCAAATATCTAATTGGTCATCGTCTATTCAGCCCGTAGCGAAGAAGATCGCTCAAGCCGTCGGCGCCACGGACTTCAACATCCTCCAGAACAACGGCCGCATAGCGCACCAGGTCGTTGACCATGTTCACTTCCACATGGTAAGCTCTTCGCTCCCGCCGCTCTCCCTAGGCACAGGGGACTAGTTTCGAATACTAACCACTATAAACTCGTAGATCCCCAAGCCCAACGAGACCGAGGGACTCGGCATCCACTGGCCCACTCAGGAGACGGACATGGACAAGCTCAAGGCTCTGTACGAGGAGGTCAAGGCTAGAATGTAGATGGGTTGTAAGCTAGTAGTCTGATAGGATAACATGTGTCCATCCAACCACCGCGCAGAACTGCACGGCCGTCCCTAAGCTCTATGTCAACTGTGAAACTGTTCCTCGAATGTAGTTGTAAGAATGCTTGACCATCGCAACTGTGGAACTCGGTTCTCACGAGCTGGTATGTACAGTACTCCGTAGCTATGGCCCGTATATGATCAATCAACTAATCATGTCACCGAATTGATCGATGTAGACCTGCCTATCAGGGAAAATGCAAACATGACTTCCCATCAATTGCAGGGGGAAACCATCTGAAACACACAAGCAAAAGTGTCTCGAGTTCGGGCCCGTCGATCAACTTTATCCAAGACGGTTTCAGGACAGATTCCAGATTGCGGTGCCGGTGTATGAACTATGATCGACAGAACAGAGATGCTCATTTTTGAGGCCGGGCCAGGTGGAAAACATGCCCGATGTGGTAAGTGCTTTCAGGATGGATGAATAAGGAACCTCCCAGATGTATGATGGGCTCAGCTCGCAAACGAATTTCAGATTACCAGAATGCCTAGTTGACAGTGGTAATCCGAGACAATGGAAAGGCTGGAGTTCACAAGACTCTATCTAGCCTGCTACCAGCCACATCCTTATATCGGGAAGTGTCTCTTAAGAGACAAGAAATGATCCAATCCAATTGTACGTATAAAAATGATCTTTCCAGGTCGTTATACCGTGACAAGGCATCATTAGGAGCCACAGAGACATCTATCCTATCACACAGAGTACCAAATCTAACAATAATGTATTTATACACAGACCTTTGTCATGTAGGCTACTTCACCCAGCTAGGTTCTATCCCTCATGAAGCGCATTTCCCTTCGTCTTGACCTCGTCCGGGTAGAATTCGATCTTGCCGCCGCCCTGGATGATGTTGAGTCGATCATAGAGGGAAGTAGCCCGCACATACGAGTCGAGCTCCCAGTATTGAGCTCTCAACCGCTCAATAAGACTGTTCCTCGTCTCAGTCGCGGTCTTCAAAGCCGAGTCATCCTTCTTCTGGCTGGCTGCAATCCACGCAATCGTGGCACCTTGCAACTCCTTAGCGAGTTGCTGTCGCTCAGCGATCATCGCATCGCGCTTGACAGTGTCCTCCTGGTTCTTGTTCTCGTCGGGCTCGGCCTCGACGTACTTGTAGGCCCAGTTTTCGTCACCCTCGAGCTCCTTCCAGATCTGATCCCTCGGAATGAACTTCTCCAAGTCCTGGACATTCTTGGTAAACTGGATCTTCGAGGCGACCACGGGGTCAAGCCAGCCCTTAATGACGTTCCAAATTCCTGGTAAAACCATGGTAAGAATATTGCAAGCTGAAAGTAGTTCAAGGAAATGACCAACCGGAAAAGATCCAGGGAGCCTTGTGGATCAGGACCACTCCCAAGCACTCCGGGTAGTTGGCTTCGAAGCACTTGATCATGTACTTAACTGGATGATAGTCCTGCAAGAAGTTAGAAAAGATTGAATGACGATTTGGGATGATCCTACCATATTGCTTAGCGAGAAGTCGGTCATATCGAAAACAACGCACTAGTCTAAGTCAGTGTCTGTTTTCATAAAGCCAATATTTGAATACCCACAGCTGTCTCAACAGGAGGCGCAAGCATCATTCGAGCAGTCTCGATGGTGTAGACAGTAAACCGATCAAGTGCCTCCACCTCTTGATCTCCTGCTTTGTGCAAGCGCACTCTGACCACACAGATAGGCCGACCGGACTTGTCAACACCATGCAGGAAGCTCTTGCCCATGCGGAACTGCAGCAAGAAGTCCTCGCCGGCCTTCTTCTGATCAGGATCAGCGGTTTGGCTCTGCTTCAACGCGCCATGCTCGCCATTCTTCATGATATCTTCGTCCAGCTTGACCTCCTGGAGTCTCCATCGAAGTGTAGAGATCAGCATGATCAGTGCCTTCTTGACATCCCACTTGCGCGCCCGCAGGAAACGGAGCAGCAGCGAGTCGGGATTGTCGTGCTTGATCATGTTCCATAGACTGGTTCGGATCTCTTCTGGTTTCATATCAACCAGAGCTTGCTGGAACTCCTTCGACTGTCCGTACTTATCGTCTCCATCGGTGATGCTGATCGAGGCCAGACTGGTTGAAATGTCGCTTGCCGACTGAGAACTAGCTGATTCGTCCTCAGCATCGTCACCGCCTCTGCCGAAGAGGCCGAATCGCCGCTTCGTAGGCTTCTTCTTTTCCTGGGCGGGGGTAGGTGAAGGTGCTTCGCTGGATTGTTGTTGCAACTGCTCGAGACCTTCCACGCCACACACTTTGAGCAGCAAGACCCAAAACTCCTGGAGCTTTGCTTCCTGTTCGGGCGTGAGGTTGCCCACAGTTCCGGGTTGAGCTTCAATAGGCATGGTCTTCAACGTATCGATTATACCGAGAAAAGGCGAATTAGTTTCTTGGAGAGGTTCTGAGGAATCGGGAGAGGGTAGAAGTCCGTCGTCAACTGTCCAGTATTTATCCCGTAGCCAGGTTCCTGCACCGACTAGAAGTAGGGTGAATGTGATCGTCCAGAAGGTTGAAGCCTTCCTCGGTTCGCACTGATGCGATGGAGAAGTGGAGTAAGCCCTCGGTGAGTTAGACCAGATTATAGGGCTTCGAGTCCGATACAAGGACTTGGGGATCTGTGCACGGCCTAGATTATGAAGTCTCGCGGGCGCAGAGGGGATCGAATTGGCCGAGGAACGAAGCAGACGGCGGCGCAAGGAAGAACAAGCATGCATGTGCTTCTCTTTGGGCGACTCCTGAGTCTGGGTTGGAGATCTGATCTGACTGGCGATCCTTAGCGCTTCTTCTTGAAGGTTTCCGACCTTGTTGTGCCAAAGCTGGAGGTGAAACGTGAGAGGATGATCAGACCCTCAAAAATCGAGCCGGGAATGCGGGGAACGGAGAGAGGCAAGAGTGCAAGAGGCGAATTGAAGGAAGGAGGAGTGGCTGCTTTAGTGACGGTTGGAACGATCAGGGTCCGTCAGGCCCGAACTGCGATCGGTGTGCTGGACCAGGGGGGGGCGCAGAGGGGAGGAGGGGGCCACGAACTAAGTTAAGGGTGGGGATTGAATTGAGATTATGAAAAGAGTTGTTGCGGTCGAATTATCCGGGCTTTCCTAACTGAGATAGTCCTACACTCGTGTTCTCATCTTTTGCTTTGCTTAGCCAGGGGACTCGGGATCCTCCAGAGATCCCTAATTATAGTCGGGCCCATCCATCATTCCATCCTATTAATTCGATGAACGCTAACCTGGTCCAGGCAGCGATCAGATTGAGGGCCTGATGGATGTGGCATCAGGATCCACAAAGTCCGAACTGTTCCAGTGACCGCACCTTCCCCAAGCGGGGAATCAACAACAGCCCGCCCGCCGCCCGCACCGAACCTTGCCTTGCAATCATCGTCAACAAACCTACTATCTATCAGAGGTATCACGCCGGTTCAAGACATTCGCCTGACGAACAAGGAACAGGGAACAAACTTCCGAGACAGCTGAATATTCGATTCACTTCCCGCCTCAGTTGTGCGCTGCGCAGTGTCGCCAGCATCTGATCTCTTCTCCGACCCTCGGATCTCAATTCAGCCACCCACGGTCATCATGGACGCCTTTTCTCGCTCAGCATCGCGCCCTCGGCCCTCTTCTCGACCCACGACTCCCTTGCGACCCAGTTCACGCTCCTCGTTCCGCGAAGCCCATGGATATGGAAGTAGTATTGGCAATACCGGCTATACACAACCCGCCATCAATGCGTTGGAACCCCAATTCGCGGAACTCGCAGACTCGATGGCGGATCTAGAAGCCAACTTCATGCATCTTCAGTTGATGCATGAGAGCTTGACACGGTTCAGCGAAAGCTTCGCCAGTTTCTTGTACGGCATGAACATGAATGCCTTCTGTGTGGATTTTCCAGAGGTATGAGAGTCCGACCCGTATCTCACGATGGCCAATTTGCTCATTTGAATTCAGGCACCGATCTCAGAATCATTCCGGAGGGCAAAGCAAGCGGAGTCGCAAAGCGGTACAGCTCCATTCTTCATTTGAGAAATATCAGATATTGACCCTCAATAGCAGCTGAAGCGGAGGCAGTGCAAGCGATTAATGACGCAGAAATGACTTTCATGTAAGGCGCCCGGAGTTTCCGCCTCTTTTCTTTCCTTTTCGCAATCATACTAAATACATTCTCTACCCTTAGGACTACGGATACCTCGTTTGTCGAAAACCCGCCCAGCATCATCTCCTCCAAGCCCACGCCAAGAATCCCGGCCACCTCACGCGGATCTACAAGAGGAACCACAAGAGGAACCACAAGAGGAACAACCAGAGGGGCAACTAGAGGAACCCGTGGCTCGACGACCGGACGATATGCTACAAGAGGCTCCAGCCGAGGATCCCGGCCCAGCGCACTGCCCCGGGGAAGAGGTATTCGGTGATCGAGAGCGGCAGAAACTGTGAGGGCATGAGAAGCGACATGAGTTATGGCACAAAAAAATTATGCGCATACAGGGGTGCAGCTCTTGGCTGCTACGACTGGCAGGTCCAGCGAGGAGAGAGACCTGCACACATAGGACGATCTACGTCATGAAGATGATGCGACAGTGCCTGCGAAGCAGCTTGCGCTGGCCTAGCTGGATAGACAATACTGCTTGACAAGCGCAGCCAAATAAGTATACACAGTGTGTTAGATTGTGTGTTGGTAGCTTAGTCTCAAGGCCGCTGTTCAATGCCCAATTCGCAATGGGGGACATTGAACAGTGTACACAACAATTGATTGCGAAGAATGACTTTTGTAGAGGAATGGCAGTTGGTCTTGATGTGAAAAGGTGCATTCTTGCACTCTGATGTGTTACTATGTACATATTGAAGCAGGAGGCGATCTCGGATCAAGTGAGGATCCGGCGTCTTATCGCCGCCGGAGCAGCCGCGGTCGACCCTTGCGAAAAAAAAGATCTGACCTGACCTGCTTCTTGCGCCTCCTCAGCAACGAGACCCAGGACGATCTGTAGTTGTCTGTCTCTGGGACTAACGCTCTATGATAGTCTTACTCTCTCGTGCTCTTCGTTCTATAGACCTCTCGGGATTTCTGGTTCGTGGTGGGAAGGACTATTGCTGAAGCAACCAGACTGAATCCACCCGCTTCCGATCCCCGACAGCGGAACCCTCCGGTGGCTGGCGGAGTCTCTCCAGTGTGTCACTCACGGGCTGCTGCTGCTGCGACTATTACTCTATTGCGGAGCTGATCTATTCAGTATCCCCACTGTCTCTATATTGGATCCCATAAGGTACTGTGATCCGTGTTGTTACAGATTATTCAATACTCCCCCAGTCATTGTTTCCTGGCCCGATTCACAGACAATACTGATGTGGATGACACCTAGACCTTCCCTAGTGCTGCAATGCATGGATCCTGTCTGATTTGCAGTTGACCTGCTGAGCATCACCCCTCTCCTTTTCTCTCGATTTAGAGAGTCCTTACCTTGGCTGTGCCAGTTTGACTTTCTTGCGCTCTCTGTGAAAACCCCCCTCTGTCGTTCGCTGGATCCGTCATGGCGACCGTGGCGACCGTAGCGACCGTGGCCAGTGTGGTCTCGGTCTCATTGCTCTCGGAGGCCGAATTCGGCTGCGGTATGTACACCCTCTAGACCACATATCATCTGAAATATAGTATTGATCGCTGATATCTTCACAAAAGAGCACCTGGCCACACAGCTAGGACAAGATGCCAACACCGCGGAGCAGTTCAAGAGCTCCTTTATCAAGGCGCATAACTCCCTGGCGGTCTTGCCCAAGCCCATGGACGGACCCATCAAGAACGGTCGTGCAAAGGCTCACGGGTTCTTGAAGCCCAAGTATACTTGCTTGACATGCTCAGAAACCTGCTTGATGAGCGAGCGTCAAGCTCACACCGATAAGACGGGCCACTCGTTCTGTAAGTCGTCCTCGTCGAGTGCGCGGCCAACCACTAACCCTCCCAGTCATGGATTCCCGGGCTCGCAATCTCTATTGTCAGGGCTGCGGCGACTTTGTCTTCGACCATGGGCTGGAAAGACTGCGCTGCTCTGCAGCAGAAAGTGCCTTACAAGGTAAGCATGCGCGCTCACCAGACTCCTTGCTATGGGCGCTAAGATCGCACACAGTCGCCAAGAAACGTCGCTTTAGCGATAGTTCAGCGGATGAGCTATACATTCGGAGCAATGCCACCAAACGTCCTTGCGCAAAGCAGGGCGTCAGGGGTTTGTTTAACTTGGGCCAGACCTGTTATCTGAATGTCATCCTGCAGACTCTCCTACACGATCCAATCCTCAGCACGTATTTCCTTGGAGATGGTCACCAGCCGCATGACTGTACTATACCCGACTGTGTGGGCTGTGCAGTTGCTGAAGCCTTTGCCGACTTCAATAGCATCGACAAGGCTGAAGGGTTTACTGCTTTGAATCTTCTTGTGGCATCATGGCGCTCGAGTCCCGTATGTGCCCCATGAGTTCCATCCCAATAGTCTCGCTAACATGTCCTACACTACAGACACTAGCCGGTTATCAGCAACAGGACGCCCACGAGTACTACCAATTCCTTGTGGATAAACTTCATGCAAGCACCGAGGGTCACCACGAGAACCACCAGAAGGGATGTCCCTGCTTCTTCCACAAGACATTCTACGGCAAGCTCCGTAGTAGCGTGACATGCGACAAGTGTGGCAATGTCACCAGAACCGAGGACCCAATGGTGGATCTCAGTCTCGACGTCCAAGTGAAGAAACGAGCCATGGGTGGTGGGGTTGGTTCGTCGACCCCAACGCTGAGTGGGTGCCTTGAGAGTTTCACCTCCCCGGAGAAGCTCATGGCGGGCGTTTACAACTGCAGCCAGTGCAACGGGGGCTCTCAAAAGGCAACCAAGCAGTTGCGGATCAAGAAACTGCCAGCCATTTTATGCATGCAGCTCAAGGTACGACTTCCCACGCTTCACACAAACTCCTCCCATTCTGGACTAACCCAAACCCCCAGCGATTCGAACACAGCGCCTCTGTGTCCGAGAAACTCGAAGGCCGGATTGAATTTCCGCTCTCCATCAACATGCTGCCGTACACGACGAATCCACACTCCAAAGTCGACAAAGCACGCTTCATGTATGACCTCTCATCCGCCGTCGTGCACAAGGGCAAGCTGGATTCAGGGCACTATTACGTGTACTGCCGCCAAGGAGACGAGGTAAGCCTTTCCCCCTTCTTTCATCCATCCCATCCGCGTCTTCGGCCAAATACTAACCCCAAACCAAAACAAGCAGTGGATGCTTTTCAACGACGACCAAGTAACACCAGTGGCCGAAGCAGACGTCCTCAACGCCGACGCCTATCTCCTATTCTACAACCTCCGATCCCTAGCCTCTGCACCACAGTAACACACGTCTCATTTCTCTCCGGCTCTCTTTCTTCTATCTATACATGTTCTACCTTGACCCCCTTGAACCTGCCGCATCATTTCCCGTTCCCGGTACATATCATCATCATCATCATCATCATCCATACCTCGATAATTCCTCTCCCTATTCCCAATCTCATTCCGGCGGACTTTTTGCTATTCTTTCTTACTGCTAATCTGTTGCATTTGCCACATCGCGTCCAACAGGTCTATCACAATGTCTTTCCCAGCCGCAAATTCCCTTCTGGAGTATCAAAGGGTCCGGGACCATGGAGTTTAGATCATCTTTTTTTTTTGCCCCCACGTCTTGTATTGTTGTTCACTTGGCTTTTTCCAAATGTCCATGGCTTCCGTTGTCTTTCGCATACACTGTATGAATGAATATGGGAGTGACGGGGAGGTGAATTTCTCAATGGCAGAGCATTATCATTTTCGAAACTTTTCAGTTCTGTTTCATGCATTATACAAGGAAGACAGGGAGGTAGGTCGAGGACAGTATCCTCTGCATGTTCTTGCTCAGGGGAGTTTTCGTGGCTGTGGAGGCTATTTTGAGAATATGGCTTGCATTCATTGGATTTGGGGTATTTTGATAGCATACTGTAGTTAGTACCTCAGGGAGGATGTATACTTCCTTCAAAGCTGGAGTCGATGTGATTGGCTTATGAATTAGTTCCTTCCGAGCCTCGGTAGTATAGTGTGATGGTGCCCGGCTAGAGCTAAATGGGGTGGATGCTATTGTCGAAGGGCGCATTCAAGTGCACTACGAGATGGGCAGTCACGCAAACGTCCAGTCTCCAACCACTACAAGTACGACAGCGGGGGAACCGCAGAGACCGCAGGAGAGGGCAGGACAGACGGAGAAGAGTCCATAATCCACACGATGGGAATCGATCCAGCACGAAACCGCCCCATCGGGACCGATCTGACGCATCAGGTAAGCAGGCCAGCCAGACCCCAAGCGGTGAATTGCTTCCCTCGTAAAACCAACCCAGACGATCGGGTTGTCCGTAGCTGAGGCTAGTCAAAGCGAAAAGAAAGGAAAAGAAAAGAAAAGCATATGAAGCATCCCTCAATTTTTAAGATTTCATTTCTTGTTTTTCTCTCATTTCTCCGCTCTCTAAAAAATTCAAAATCCTCCCCGAGTACCAGATGAGTCCCCCAGTCCGAGATCTGCTTTGTTTTCAAGAGCAAACCCTAAGCCATTGTCCGAGCGGATTGGGGGGTTGTTGAGAAGTTCAAGGATTCGCGGCGATTCTCTGGAGTTGTTCGAAAGAGAGAGAACAAGAAAAGACATTCCTCCTCTCCATTTCATCACTTCATTTTGGTACCGAGCGCCCGAGCACGTGAAAGAGATCCGTCGTGAACAAAGGAAAATTGAATTCGGAAGAAGGAAGGAATTTAACGGAACTGAAGGAGGTGAGGCATTAGCTAAGGTTGTTCGGGTGGGTGGTTGATGTGTGCATGTTGTGTGATGTGTAGAAACTCCAAGTGTGCCGTCGCCCTGTCGAGTTTGTCCTCTCGTCGTCCCATTGTTTTTGCTCTCTTTTCCTCCAGTGTTGATCATGTCGAGTCCCTTTCCATGGTCGCAGGCAACAATGTGTATCCTCCAATCGCGAGCGCAGGTTTTGTGGTAGAGCAAGGTGTAGAGGTGAAGATGAAAACCAACCTTGTAGAAACCGATGTCCGAAGCCTTCTCACGGAAGCACTGACGGCAGATGTTCATCTATAATGCATCCTCGGTCAGTTCACCGGTCCCATATATTCGAATTGTATCCAAAGGAGAGTATATCAGGTGTTCCATACCCCGTACTTGCGGATGAGACCGGCGCGGTGGGAGCAGACACGGCTGTATTTCAATCGAGCATAAATCAGTCATTTGTCCATGGTGTGTTCCTCCATTTGGCGTTTCAAGTCATCGCGTGATCCTCCTTCTCTTTTGACCGTTTCTCTTCGCATTTTTCCAGATTTTAGGGGGGTTGAACACACCATCCACGGGAGCCCTTGCCGAACCTATACCACGCAATCTCCGTTAGTCTCACGAATATACCCTCAATTTTCACACGGATCGCGTCGAAACAGGGAGCACTTACTGGCGGGGACGGCTGTACCAAACAGACTCGTGAGTCATCTTGAATTTTCTGAGGCGAGAGAAAACCTGGGGGATGAGGTCGGGGGGTGTTTGGGCAGGCGGATTTGTCGTCGGCTGGGCGTTGAGGGGATTCAGACAAAAAGGCTAGGGTTGAAATTCCGTTGTGTGCTTTCCTGCGCTTGCCCGGACGCCGGGCTCGGACCACCTCGCTTGCGGGCCACTAAGCCGGTTTGGGTCCGGAATCACATGACTAAATGGATCGACGGGAATGGCGAGACGGGCGGTGAGCAAGCCCCCGGCGGGTGTTCCTCCGCCTCTCCGGGCCTCGCTTATCATCATCCTTCCTGTCACTGGCTTTTGATGTATACAGGAGACGGCCTTAAGAGGCCGATCGTTCACGCGGCGTCATTATGTGTTGGTTTTTCGGTCAATCTGGAGATTAGGTGCTTCTCATACTGGACGGATTCCCCTCATGTCTATCTTCTGTTGTTAATGCTCCATCCTTTTGCTGACTGGATGGCGACGACGACGAGCGGTGACGCGAACAATAGGCGGAATGGTCTGAAGAAACCGATGAAGAATCTGGAAAATGGATGGAATGCTTTGGAGGCAGCAGCCAATGCTACGCCAGGGGTAGGTACTTGTGAAAGAAGATGTCACCTGGCAGGCTAGGAAGGCGCACCCGCTACGAGGTCTTCCTCAATTGCGACGGTTGAGGGCACCGACCTACTACTGCTATTGCACATTTTTAGTATGGAGAAGGTCTCGAGTCACGGGCTCACTCCGTGTTTGCATGCCGATCAGCGTAATAAAGTCCAATCATCCACGATGGAGGATTGTTTGCTGAGATACTAATGTAGATACTAAGCTAATACCCCTCAAGTTAGTGGGCAAAGGCGGTGATTGGGGGCGCATGTTATTCACACCCCAGATACCTAAGCTCCGCCATGCTGCAACGCCCAGTCACTTCGTGCAGACGAGGTGGTCCCCAAGGGTTCTAGTTCTACCTCACAATTGTTGCCGTGGCGTCGGCGACCAGTGGGTGGTTATTATGATTGTCCACCAAAGGATAGTTTGCACTGCAGTATACCAAGATCGGCATGGATCCTCAGGTTGTTGATCCTCCAGACTCCAGGTCCAAGACTCCGACAACCGGATCAGACTTTCAACAATAACCAAATCCATAGCAATCGCTTGTTCATTCCGTATATCCGCGATGCATGGTGTAGCATGGCTGGAAGGAGTAAAAGACTGGAAGCATCCTTGATCCGAGATAACCCCGACATAACAATATCCGGGACAGACTTGCTCGCTTCCACGCTCGACACCACTCGCGGACGGGACCACCCGCTAGCTTCGTCCCAAAAAAGGGCCCTTGAAGAGCGATTGCCATTCTTCATGGTCAGCTGCCTTGAGGTATCGGCACAACTGAAGGTGACAGACTGCAAAAATAATCCAGGGCCAGGTGCGATTTTCGCGCTTTTCCGCAGCCGCCGCGCTTCCCGTCATGCCATGCTAGGATGCAATCCCAATTGCCAATTCTGCATCGGGGTTTAGATTGGGGAGGGGGGAGGGTCGGGGATTTGACCATTTTGAAGCACGCACCTGTAACGGCGGCTTTCGGAGATTTACCCGCCTAGCCCATGTCTTTTTCTCTCTCAAATCCAAGGTTAAGGCATTTGGTCCCATCCATTCAAGTCGTGGTGGTTCGGATTGATGCCGAATTGCCGGCCTTAGCTAGTCTTCGTTTTCCCGCTCCTCTCGTTGCATCTACCTCTTTAGGGGAAGTGTTCGGGAAGTACGGGTGGATTTCTTGACTTCGGTTATCCATGGCAAGTTGTATGAGAACATCGCGGCATGTTGACTTGAATGTTTATTGTTTATCGTTTCGGTTTTGTTAGAAAGCCATGTCGTTGCTGGCTTGCAATTCTCGAGCATAAAGAGATGCCCAAAACCCCAAGTACCCAGAAATCATAGATGTCCAGATCGTCCATGTGCTTGCTGATGTGATAACGGCGGGAAAGACCCAGCTTCGATCGGCCCCATAAGCAAAGAAAAATTTCCTTCCCAACAAGATACCATTTCATCTTAGTTCTCCAAGGGCGTGCCTTCGAACTGACCCCGTTCGTGTTTTGCTTACTCTATCGGTATCTGGATTCTCAAGGAAGGAAAAAAAATCTTTTCTTTTCCAATCAAACCCGCCTTGTATTAATAATGTACCCAGTCCACATGAAGAGGAAAGAAGATTCCCGTCGTGATGAGAGCCCCAAAACATATCTATCGGTGAAGTGATTGGATGGTATATGGGGAAAGGTTGGTCGGCTCGGTCCCACTTGTACTAGTTGGAATCGACTGAATCCTGGCATACTTGAACCCTACCCTTGAGTAAGGTATCTACGGTATAGCACACCGTTGACTGCGGCAGTGCTTCGTGAATGATGGTAGACAGCAATGAACGCGATCTTATGCATTCATGACTCTGGGAGCCCAGTGGTGCTAATAACATCCTCCCAAAAATGAGTTTGTTGGCTGTCAGCTGTCCTCGACGTATAGGCACGGTCTAGCGAAGGGACTTGTGCACACGGCTCTGTGCACTGCACTAAACATGCATGAATCTTATCGGGGATGGTCGTAGCGGGCGGGTCCTCATGAGGCTGGCAGCACGGATGTCCAAGACGGTAATGATTGCTGCTCTGATGTCCGGCATATTGCGGGGATTGTCCTCTAGGCTCAAGCTCAACAACAAACGGGTTAAGTCAATACTGAATGCTATACAGATAGCAATATCGAAAGCCCATATCCCCAAAGCAGGTCAAGATGCGAGGAATCAGCTCATATGATGCTGCCATAGTCACCGTTTGATGACGTCAAAGCATCTTCGCAGCCAGCTGCAGATGATATCCGATCCGAGTCCAGGCGTATTTCAATGAGTCATACGATGCGTATAAGTAAGCGCGGACAGAGGAATCTCGGCGACTCGGCACTGCATCAAGTGGGAACGGCACAATCAGGTATCATTGATTGAGAAGTCAAAAGAAACGAAACGGGAAATTCCACCAGGTCATGCGAGTTGCTGGTGTGCGGAGCGGTGGGCGTGTCTCCAAGAGGAACCGGTGCGTGTCGTTTTCGTTTGGTGGTCCGTGTCGGTTTCCCATAGCTTGGTTAGTCCAGTTTTTTTGGCAGCTTGGTTCGCCCGGCTTTTGAATAACATCATTTTTTTTTTTGCACTTTTTTTTTTTCTTCTTCCGGTCTTTCCAGCCCTGCATGTCACAAATCTTGCTTAACCAACTGAGCCTCGGCGTGGTTGTTCAAAATCACTCTCCACTACTGTTGTTTTTCCCAGCCCTACCCACCTGTGAAGTACTATGTAGCTGCAATGAGCTCATCCTGTATCAACGGCAGGGCTGTTCACACAGATGACAACACCTCGACAGGCTCCGTAGATCTCAAGGCGGTCAAGCCAGCCTCCCTTCCAGACTACCCGCAAGAAGGCGCTCTTGCGGAAGAGCGCGGATGCAGGTGCTTCCTTAAGTCCGTGCTAAAAGGTGACGCCAAGCCACGATCGCCAGTTGGGTTGTCAGACGAGACTGAGAGAGAGCAAGAGGGAAAAAAGACCAGAAAAGACCAGACAGACCAGACGGCACACAGACGCGAACAGGGCTGGACGCCCAACGTGCGAGGGCCCCGCAGGGTGGGGTCTGTTTCCGAGGGATGAGTAGTCACTAGTCACTCACCACGGAGTATACGCAGATAAAGAGATCGACGCTTGTTGGCAGTCGAGCCGTCCAACACAAGCACATGGGTAGTAGTAGTATTATTAATACAATAACGAACAACAAAACTGCCAGCTCCCTCACAACACGAGGCCGCATAGACTCTAAAGTCTGACTGGAATCATTGGAGCCTACTCACTACAACTCAAATTCAGAAAGTAGAGTCAGCAGTCAACCCATCTGGTCGATGTAAGCTTCAGGCATCAGAGATACTGAGTCGTTGTTGCATGGAGGATGAAGATCATCGCTGAAGGCTCACGTATCAGCTCTTCACGCCAGCACATCCATGCACTGTGTGATTGTTCACGGCAGGGACTCCGTACTATACCTCTACCTCTCCCCTCACTCCAAGACACGATCTTCTTTTTAAGTGTGACAAGCTGCATGAAGATGTCACGCTACACCACCATGTACAGTACCTAAATTGTCGACGATCAGACCATAGAGGTCGAAATTAAGGGACTTGACTTGTCAATAATCAAGGTATACTTGCTTCGCCCTAGCCAATCTCAGACAACAAACAAATGCAGAGACTTGGACAATACTAGCCTATGTAACAATGCCTGTCTAGGCTTTGAGGGCACAGGAGCTTCTCGGATTTCTTTCGTAGCTCATAAGCAGTTTATGACTGAATCTGCGCACCTATCTCTCTACGTGCAGCTTCGAATCCAGCAGTGTGTTCATCTATGATAGACAGTAGTTATGAAGTAGCCTGGAGCCTTGCTGTACCGTCTTTAGCTCCCGTGACTCCGCCCAGCAAACGTATCATGCAAGGGGAGCGTTGGATGGTTTCACTATATGAGATCTACTCCGCGATCTGATTTGAGGCCGGTAGCGTATCAGCTATAGAGTAAGTGGCTATCATGCGAAGTCGCACCGCTGTTCCCCACTCATTTGAATAGCTAGCTGTCAGGAGACAAACTTGTTTTCATTGGGCCGGATACGTAGTACATGAGAATATGGGCTCACTCTAACAGAAAGCGTTAGATAGTAGTCAGTCTTCCCACGCGGCTAGAGACTATCGAGATCATGTCGCATCGAAACATTCCAAGTTGGGAGAGGCCGGTGTCTTTCGGATTCGATGGGCTGCCACTGAGACATGAGAATGCGGGGAAGGTCAGCAACTTTCAGCAATTTTGAAGCATAAATCTCCTGGAGCGAACAGTCACATGAGCTGGAAATACTTGGGATGTATATGATGTTCAGTACGTGAAGGTCGGAGTATAGAGACTAGCATGTCTTCGTCCTCAGGGAGTAAAACAGGAGGGTTCTAGCTCGCGATTCTATCCATAATCTCTTGCCAAGACAGCTGTATCAACAGGATCTGTTTTCGAGGCAGAGTCAGGTCATGTAGAACAGCGATTTGTAATACGATTAAAGCGTATAGGCAACATAGTCGTTCAGTCACCAACAGCTGGTTAGACACTACTATGAGTAAGAATGAGTTAGATTGAGTAAAGGCACATGAACAATAAGCTCGGCCCTAAAGGGTTAAAGAGAGTCCGCTCTAGACCCGGCGCTAACAGTTCGGTACCTTGGAATGAGGTCATTTTCCACGGCACCTTCAGCCCGGCATGACTTCAATGCCCAGAACTCCTCCTCCCAGCTGCTCCGGCCTTCCGAGAGCCGAAGCACCCCCAAAAATCTTTTGTTAGACTTTATTCTGCCTTGTCGATTGGAAGTATCACTCCAAACTTGGTCTGTAATGTGCCAGCGCGCTTGCTCTGACTAAGATCAAGTCGTACTCATTAGTGCTCATCATGAGTCAGAAGCATACTGTTGAGCACAGAGAGGAGCTTAGCGAAGGATAAGTTCCCAAGGCCGTACTATCACATTGGAAATTGATCAAGATGGAAAACCCGGCAACTCTGGAAGGGGAAAAAAAGGAGAAGAATGAAGAGAAAAACAGAGAGAATTAAGGTTCCAGAAATGGAACTAATGATCGTTCCAGCGATCATCTAGTCGCCTAGTGCCAAAAAAAGAAATGCTCACTATTCTACCGTACTGAGAGACACCTCATGATGACGAGCGGGAAACAACTGAATGAGAACAATGAAGACTCACCTGTGGCAGTGGACTAAATCACTGGTAGACCAAGTGCTTCTGGATGGATCTATAGGTAGGTAGCTACCGATCGATCCAATGAGGTACTCGCTCGTACTTACTCAAAAGCTGGTGGGTTAATTAGCTTATGGAAAAATAAAGAAAGAAAAAAGCACCGAATGACCCCTCTACGTACTAGGTAACCCAAAGCCAGCCCACTCCACCGCAGAGCTCCCACTCGACTAATCCTCATCAGTGACTTTCTGCTCCACTCCTTCCGGTAGCCGGTGCTCGAGCGAGGCTGTTGTTTCCACGGCCTTTCGGATTTGTTGCATGGCTATCCCCGCCAGCTCCGAAAAGGAAGACGAACAAACCCAAGACCCAACCAGCAACTTGTACACAGCGCGAATGTCGGTAATGATGTGTAATGACCTGATTAAAAAGACTGGCGCAACCCTCTTGCTTCCCAGCTCTTTATTTCCTTCTCCCTTCAGTCCTTGGATCATCCGTAAGCCACCAGTTAGGGTTCCCTTGAGCTCTTGCTTCTTATACTTCCAGTCCGCTCTCCAACTGCACCGCGCTCGACCGTCGGTCCTTTGCATCCACAACAGCCCTACCACCTCGGCCAACAATTCCCTTCCTAATTCCAGAGGCACCGTCTCTTCAGCCTAGGGAGCAGTTGTTGGGTGCCCAAGCAAGCTCGTAGCCCTTGCGCTCCATAAATTCCCTTTTGTCGCATTTTCTTATTGTCGCAAAACCAAATTCAAGCTTGCGCTCATGTGGCAGCGAGCTTCCCGTGCCGCGTTCGCGGCGTCTTCCTTTCTAATCACGGTTGCGAATGCTATTCCGCATGGAGATGATGATGGAATGCACATGGACAGCGGCATGGACATGTCCAGCCACGATTCGCAACCCACGGAAAACACAGAGACGACTGACGACTCGCCTATGAGTTACTTTGCCTATGGCAAGCATAGCGGCGCAATCATGGCGCACATCGGTCTGATGGTCGTTGCCTGGTGCTTCATCCTCCCAATTGGTAAGTGCTTCTTTTGCCTCCAATTCAGTTTCCAAGCTCGCAAACCAGGCGCACGCGAGGCTAACACAAAGCTTGCAGCGGTCATGCTCAGTGTTGGACGATCCCGCTTTGCCTTGCCGTCGCAATTCCTCTTCCTGGTGCTTAATGCGGTTGGGATGCTTGTCGGAATAATCTACAACAGCCAGACCCCAGATCTATACGAAAACAATGCTCATCACAAGATTGGTTGGATCGTGACCTGGGTTATCAGCGCTCAAGTGATTATGTCGCTGATTTTCGCCTACGCCGGACGAGGGGAGACCGAAAATAGCTCCTATGAACGCGCAGCGTTCCTTCCTGTGTCGACCGATGAAATGGCCGATAGCCACCACACCTTCCCTACTGGCCCTCGTCACTCATATCGTTGGTCGAGAGATAGCGGGCAGGGAACTGAAAGAAATTCCTCCTCGATCCACTGTCCAGAGTCGCCATCGTGTGCGTCCGCATCGGACGAGTACGACGGCTTCGAAAAACCCGAGGACCCTGTCCCTGAGAACCCCCCTCAGTCACACAGACCCATGCGCATCCCCATTGTTGACCGCTTCCTGGCCAGCTGTGTGCCGGGTATGGTGTCCAACCGTGTGCTCCGCGTCCTTTCGGTCATCTACAAGATCATCGACAGGATCATCCTGCCTTTTGGCTTTGTCGCTCTTGTGACTGGTTTTGTGACCTACGGCGGTATTATGGTATGATCATCGCTTCGGTAATTGACATGAACAGTTCTCGCTAACGTGTGACACAGCGCGGCAAGGAAGTTTTCAACGGTCTTGCGCATTTCATCAAAGGCGGAATCTTCGTGTGGTACGGTCTGTTGACACTAGGACGAATGCTTGGCTGTTGGGCAGATCTCGGCTGGGCCTGGAATGTGAAACCGTCCAGCGCTATTGTTGGGAAATGGAAGGCCAAAGTCCCTACTGGAGAGTTCACTGAGTCGTTCGTGATCTTCCTCTATGGTGCGAGTAACATGTTTCTGGAGCACCTCACAGGCTGGGGCGGCAAGTGGACTGCGACCGACTTTGAGCATGTCTCGATCTCCATCATGTTCTTTGGTGGTGGACTGTGTGGCATGCTATTCGAGTCGAGACGCGTCAAGAGCTGGTTGAACAGCACTGTCCTGCAATATCCATCCCACATGAACGCTCATACCTCCAGCGATACTGCCTGGCAGCTTCCTGACACCCAGGGTGTTTCCCTCAACCCTATGCCTGCATTGATTATCCTTCTTCTGGGCATGATGATGGGCTCTCACCATCAAGACAGCATGGTATCGACAATGGTGCACAAGCAGTGGGGCAACCTTCTTGTCGGATTTGCGCTTGCTCGGGGCGTGACTTATGTCCTGATGTATCTGAAGCCGCCTACCTCCTACTTGCCTGCTCGTCCGCCAACTGAGATCGTGGCTGCCTTCTGCCTCATTTCTGGTGGCCTGGTTTTCATGCTTAGTGTAAGTTGTTCGCTGGCAGTCATGCCTAAAAGCTGGGAATCGAATAGCTAACTTTTGTGCAGACACGCAGCGTGATTCAGGCTATGGAATACTACGACCTCGATGCGATGTTTGTGTTCACTGTCACCATGGGCTTGACCGCCTTCGTTATGGCCTACGAGATCCTCGCGATCGCCCTCAAAGCCTGGGCGGTGAAACGGGAATCCCGTCCCCGGCTCCCACCTTATCAGTTCCCCGCTTGAATGAAAATATTATCTACATCGTGTATACTGTGGTTTCTCAGTCCAAGGAGACCTCAGGAGCACTTTACAGATGAGGATACACGAGAAAGAACCCCGCAAAAAAAAGATTTGCTTTCCACAGCATTATACCCCCCACGGATATCGGTTATCCTTCGGCCTGGTGTTGGAGCGCAGGATTCGAGCTCTGACGATGAACATGACCCCATTTACCACGGCCTTTTTGCGATGAATCTTGTCTTAATGTGATGCCCATGAATGAATGATCTGCCTGAATCTCTGAGGCAATAATGAGGAGGATATGAGGGCCATGTAGTAATCAAGTTGATACCTGATAATAAGGGCTTAATATATGAACATTTGGTACTATATGCAGAATTGTCCCCAGCTTGTTTTCAGTTTGACTCGGTGACGCGGTACGTGAAGTTTCATAAACATGTTTTGAGACTTGCCCTGCTGCCGGGCAATAGTAGTTACTAGTTAGACCTTCAGCTGTACGGATGCTAATCCCGGAGCTAAGCCCATAAGTCCGAGTCCTGCCAAAGCTTAGCCAAAAGAAAAAAGAGTGGGTAAGAAAAAAAAGAGAATGGCGACGGTTGGCCCGACGTCGGCACGAGGAACTTGCCGCCTCGGCAATTTGGCAAGTCGCCGGTTGAATTCCTGTCTCAATTGTCTCACTTATGAATGGTTTCACAGACAAAAGAAACATGTTTGATGTTATAGTGTACTGTACCCTCTGGCAGGTATTTTACCACACGAAATGGTGGAATTCGAAGAGATCAGACTGCAATACGCTGCTTTGCGACGGAAATTGTAGAGTCGATCCATGATGTCAAGGATTAGTAAGGGCCACGCCATCTGGTGACTTGCCTAATCTAACCGTGGGAACTTTCCTTAGGAGGGGCAATAAGTGGGGGGCAATAGAGGGGAATCTCGAAGCCACCGCATGCGCAAATTACTCCAATTCGGGGCAAATTCAGGGTATATATCCAGCCGTACCTCACCTTTTGACTTTCCTGATATCCAACCACTTTTGCGTATCCTACCATCTCGTTCGGAGTAATCACCTCTCTCTCCCCCGACCTTTACACATCACAATGGCGTCCAACCCTCCCGGAGCTTGCTGTGCCCAGGGCTTCAAGCACGAAGGCACCCCCGTTGGTGAGGTCAAGAACGTCAATGGCGGTAGGTTGTCTTCACCAGGCTCTTGTCTGCAGAGAACGATCCCACTGACAGGGTTGATGCTGCAGTTGACTACTACATCACCTACCCCAAGGACAACAAGACTCCCGAGAAGGCTGTCCTCTTCCTGAGTGACATTTTCGGTCTCTTCAACAACGCCAAGCTGCTCGCTGATGAGTACGCTGCCAATGGCTACCTTTGCGTTATCCCCGACCTGTTCAACGGCGACGCCATCCCCGTCGCTGAGATGGAGGCCGGAAAATTCGACATTGGCGCTTGGTTCCCCAACCACCAGCCTGCCAACGTTGACCCTATCGTCGAGGCTGCCGTCAAGTACGTCAAGGGTGACCTTGGTGTCAAGAGACTTGCTGCTGTCGGTTACTGCTTCGGTGCCAAGGTGAGCCCCCGCTTTAGTGATGAGCCATTCCTCGTATAATGTGGACATGCTAACGGTCTAATGTGCATTAGTACGTCTGCCGTTTCATGAAGGAGGGTAAGGTCGACGTTGGCTTCAACGCCCACCCCTCTTTCGTTACCCACGAGGAGCTCGGCGCTATCACCGGTCCTCTCTCCATTGCTGCTGCCGGTAAGTTTTTGTGTCTCGGTGATGGAGCGCTCTCTGGTCGAAATTCGTTGCTAATTCGCCCTGTCTTTAAACAGAGATCGACACCATCTTCACCACCGAGCTTCGTCACGAGTCCGAGGGCACCCTGATCAAGACTGGTCAGCCCTGGCAGATCAACCTGTTCAGCGGTGTCTCTCACGGCTTCGCTGTTCGTGCCGATCTCAGCAACAAGCACTTCAAGTGGGCTAAGGAGCAGGCTTTCTGCCAGGCCATTGCCTGGTTCCGCCAGTACCTGTAAATGCTTAGACGTACTGTACATAATGTGGGCCCGGATGCCCTTCTAGAATTTTTCATCATTAGTCAATGAACGGATATGAGTAATGACAGGCTTCGATTATGCTGCATTCCTTTATAGACACCTGCAAATGGTTGAAGTAAGTTGAGTAGGATCGATTATCGTTGACAGAATGGTTTGTTCCACGTGACCCCGGTTGTTGGCGCTGGGAAAAAGGCCGTCGGGGAGAACAGGTCAGCGTTTACTGTCCCCCGGAGCGAGAAGAGCCAACAAACACACTTGAGGAAGCACTGCGCCGGTGGATTTCTCCTTTCCCCTGACTTGCGGGGCAATTGCGCTAATTTGTCGACTGTATGTCCCCTTTGCTTCGTGCGGGCTTGATTGCTGGCTTCTTGCGACCCTGTCGCGTGTTTACCTTTCATCCCTCCCCCGTGGCTTGTCGGGCTGACGAAAGCAGTCATCTTTTACAACCTTGATCTATTGCTACACCACTCCAAACGTCGACTCTTGCCTCAGCTCGGATCGCCAGTCTTTTCTTGAGAGGCAGCGTCCACCTACCGAATTGATCCACTGCCCCCTCGAACGACCGTGCGCTTGACGCCTTCCACAGTCTCGACCGGCCTTCATTACATAGAGACAACATTGGTGTCTAAATCTCAAGCCACACGGTCTATCTCCGACTCTGTACTCTAATATAAGAATCTGTGATTTACGGCTCGGATACCTAACATCATGGCTACTCCGGCCGCTTTACCGCCACTGCCGTTCAACCCATCGAGGGTCCGGTCCTACGTTCTTCGCCTCCCTCTTTTCACTCGGCTCGTGCTCTTAGCGATCATCGTGTTCTGGCTGCTCGAACTGCAGACGGTGTGGAGTGTCAAACAATGGGGCTCGCTGATACCAGAGGAAATCAACATTGGCACCAGTATGAACAGCCTCCAGACCCTTGCAAGGATACACAAGGACGCGTGCATTCTGACATGAGAACACAGTGTATCGACTTAACACATACCCATTCATCCACTTCGGATTCTTCCATGCCTTTCTGAATCTCCTGGCTCTCACTCCATTGTTGGAGCGGTTTGAGGCCGAGCATGGCACATTGACGGCAGTTGCTCTGTTCTTTGGCCGTAAGTCAAATTCAGCCCGGTCATACTCAGGCTTCGTCGCTGCAGCAGAGACACTAACTGCGGTGTCACTTTTCCATATTAGCTCTTTCGACTTTCCCGGCGGGCGCGTATATTGTGATCGAGAGATTTGTCTTGCACAGAAATACCGAAGTGTTTGGTGCTAGGTGAGTGACTCTGGCCTGCTATTCTGGGTCCTTGAGGGGCGTCTAACAGATCTTTCAGTGTTTGGGTCTTCCTGCTCTTGGGGTCTGAAGCCATAAGAACCTTCAAATCCAATCCGTACTTCAGGTAGGTCAAAACTTCCGGAACACATGCGTTGAAACCCGAACTGACGATCCGTCAGCCTCGGGCCGTACAAGATCCCTACGTGGACCTCCCCCCTATTTGCTTGTGGCCTGGTTTCGATCTTTGTCCAGAACGCGAGTCTCCTGGGCCATCTCTGCGCCATCTTCGTGGGTTATCTGTGTAAGTATTCTGCCTTTTCCACCTGCTTGCTTCTGGTTTCCACTTTTCTAACGGTTTGAATTAGTCGGTCTCGGGTATCTGAAAGTTTTCGTCCCCCCTGAGAAGGTCTTGAGATGGATTGAAGGGAAGTTGAACCTTCTGGGCAGACTGCCACACTATGTCTCGGTGGACCAGAAGACGTTTGGTCGGTACGGGGTTCTTCCGACCACGACTGCAGGGAGTGAGAGGGCGACTCCAATGAGCTATCTGGGCTCCTCGCAGCGTCTGGGTGCTTGAGAACTTAAATAGACGGCTTATCCTATAGCCTATCATTCTTGTGCATATATTATAATTTCTACTATACGTGACTTCTTGTGTAATGTGTAAAAGCTAGCGATGAAAGGAGTGAATATTATCTAATGTCATATGGGTTTTGTTAGTTTGGTATCAATCATATCAACAATAAATTAAATATGGTTATGACTATGTAACTAACATAGCGGCTGACGTAAATTCCGGGCTGCTCTGGCCAAATCGCCGCCGAATGATCGCTCCGTACCCGTTCAGCTGTAGCATCAACAACTCTTCCATGGGACGGAGTCCCTAAATGTCGCAACCTTCATGGCTTTGAAATGTGAGTTGGCTCACTACCATGTGCGCTAGTGAGAGAGATTCTATGTGCTTCTTGTCTTTCTCTATTGGCCCTGCTTATTCCCGATCGCTACCATCATCACCCTGTTTACCCCGGATTGCCCTCGGCGGGCGAAACAACACCTCGGATCGATTCAAACTCATGCTGACAGAAGAACCATGGCAGCCGCAATCCGCAAACTGCGGAGCAATCCTCATTTCCTCTTCGTCCACCTGCCGCATATCCTCTCCTTCATCTGCATCGTTGCCGGCGTCGTCTGGCTGCTCCTCCTGCCCCTCAACGACTACTCCCGCCAAACGTACATCTCCGAAAACGCGCTCTTACCCGGTCAGGTCCACGCATATTTCTCCGGCAGTGAACAGCACATCTTCCGGGGATACAAGAAGGAGCTAGAGGCGATCCTGGGGCGCCAGACGCCAAGTGGACAAGACAACAGAAACGAGGAATTCACCCCGGCGTATGTTCTTTCTCTGTCCAGTAACCCCTTCCCGCTCCGTTGAGAAGGCCATGTCGTGCTGATGCGGGTTTGAATTTGCGCTTAGTGTTTCCGATAAGATCCAGTCGATCTTGCGAGCCGCAGGACTCAAAGTCGCAACGCAGAAGTACGAGTACACTTCGTCGGGGATCACCCACCAGGGGCAGAATGTCTACGCGATCATCCAAGCACCGCGGGGTGACGCTACTGAAGCCATTGTGCTTGTCGCGGCCTGGAAGACAGCCGATGACGAACTGAATCTGAATGGTGTAAGCCTTGCGCTGACGCTGGCGGGATACTTCAAACGTGCGTGATGCTTTTCCGGCTTCGTCCAGCGGAGCAGCCGCAGCCGCAGCAGCTGAAGACGTTTCCATTTTTGCTGACTGGGTTTGCGCCTTACAGGATGGTCCCTATGGTCGAAGGATATCATCTTCGTGTTCCCGCCGGATAGTAAATCGGGTACCCAGGCGTGGATAGACGCCTATCATGATATGCAACCGGCATTTGTGCAGCCGCTGCCATTGAAGAGCGGCGCGTTGCAGGGGGGCTTGGTCATCGAGTATCCCTTCGATCATCGGTTTGAGTCGCTTCATATTCTTTACGATGGTGTCAACGGCCAGCTGCCCAACCTGGACCTGTTCAACACGGCTGTATCGATTGCCGGTGGCCAGATGGGGATTGGTTCCAACCTGCAAGAAATGTGGGACCACAATGACAGCTATGAGATGCGGCTGCAGACGATTCTGCGAGGCATGGTTAAGCAGGGCTTTGGCTACGCCACGGGTGCGCACAGCAGTTTCATGCCATACCATATTGACGCCATCACGCTGCAACCCAAGGGCGACGGTTGGCAGGATGAGATGGCATTGGGCCGTACCATCGAGGGCCTCTGTCGCAGTTTGAACAATCTCCTGGAGCATCTCCATCAGAGCTTCTTCTTCTACCTGCTCATGCAGACCAACCGCTTCGTCAGCATCGGCACTTATCTACCCAGTGCCATGCTGCTTGCCGGAAACTTCACCATTATGGCCATTGCACTCTGGCTGCGGACGGGATACTATACCGGCTTGGAGCAAACTGCCGTCAAGCCTCCAGTAACCGCAGAAGAGACGAACAAGCAAGCGGCTACTTTGACGGAGAAGTCCGGTGCGAACACCGCGCAGCAACCAGCTGTCAAAACCGACTCAAGCAGCATCATCGAGCGTCAACTTGCCCTGCCGCTCACCCTCGTGGTCAGCCTCCATCTCCTCGGTCTCGTCCCTCTTTACATCTTCAACAATATCAACCACCAGGTTCGTGCCCGACCATTCCCTTTACCGTCCAACCTGCTAACCTCAACCACCAGTACTACCCAACCGCAACCTATGCCAGCATCGCCATCAACGCCATCCTCCCCACCGTGCTCGCAGCCTCCCTCACCCGCGGCCTGACGACCACCCCGCGGGACCAATCGCAGCAATCCCTCCTCATCAAATCGTTCTCGCTCCTCGTCCTCGGCCTCTTCCTCTCCACGCTCGCCACCCTCAACTTCTCCCTGTCCTTCATGATCGGACTCCTCTGCACCCCGCTCAGCTTCGTCAACCGCATCGACCCGCGCACCGCCTCCCGCCCCGTGCGGTCCGTGCTCGCCGTCGTCGGCCTCGTTCTCTTGAACGTGCTGTCCCCGCCCGTCGTCCTTCTCGGGGCGTGCTGGTACTCCGGGGTCGACGTGGAGACCGTCCTCACGCAGGCGGCCTTCGGGTGGGACGTCTGGGGCATGTGGACCCAGGTGGTGGTCTGGTGTGTCTGGTGGCCCGCCTGGGTGACTGGGTGTGCTTTGTTGGGGTTCTCCCTGTTCTAAACTTTTTTTTTTCTGAAGGGTAGGTAGAGCATCATACAGATAGCCTTTGCTTCTTTTCCTCGTCTGTTGAACCTTTTGTATATTATACTATAAATCCTGTTAGGGCTACTATAGACTTCCCTTTCTCGTCGTAGCTCTGTGGTTCGGTTCTCTACTGGATATCTACTATGGTGTAGGTTTCGAGTAGGATGGTGCCATTCCATACGCTTCGAATTATAGTAAGTGAGATATGGGGAAAAGTCTAGTACGTCGTACATGAACTGCAGGTGATTTACTCTTCTCACGTCATGAGGGGTTCGGAGAGTAAATGCTTGGAGGGGCATGAGAAACAGGTTGGTGGGGGGCATAATATGGTTGTTGTTGTTGTTGTAGTAAGGTAGTTGTTAAGGTATCTGAAAAATATAGTTCGGGATTCTAGTGTTTTGGGAACTCTCATTGTTCAAGCGGCCCATACATCCTTGCCAACCCCCTCGATCCAGTGGCCCAGCTGGTTGACGCCGGCATCCCAGTCCTTCAGGCGGTTGCGCATGCCCTCGATCTGCTTCATGTCCAGGACCTTGGGCTGAACCCAGTGGATCTGGGCGACCTGGGCGACCTGGTCGATGGCGCCCTTGAGCAGGCCCAGCGAGAGGGCCTTCATGATGAGGTGCTCGATCTCCTGGGGCTTGACCTTGGTCTCGGCGGAGATGGCGGCGAAGGTCAGGTTGCGGTCGTGGGGCGGGCGGCGGAAGACCATCTCCGTGAGCGCGGAGAGCGAGATCTTCTGGTACAGGAAGAGGCGGTGCTGCTCCAGCAGCTGGTTTTTGGAGATGTTGCCGGCCAGCACGTCGTAGGCGGTCAGGTCGCCGCGGTTGAAGGCGAACAGCAGGTCGCGCAGCCAGCTGTGCGGCGTCGCGGTCAGCGAATCCAGGATCGGGTGCAGCAGCAGCTCGCCGAAGTTGTAGATCGTGTCCGACACCAGCGCCGCCACGCTGAGGTTGTAGGCCCGCGACACCCGCTCCGCGTCGCTGAGGTCCTCGAGGTTGATGCACGCCAGGTAGAGGAGGGCGTTCTTGTAGAAGGAGGCGAATTCTTGTTTGGCCTGTTTCGTTTTAAGAGCTTGGTCAGTGACGGAGGTGCGGAGATGACGAGGGTGTCCCCCTTACGTGGTAGTAGTCCGCGTTGACTTTGTAGAAGGAAGCGTGCACAACGGTCTCAACCGAGTCGAAGGTATCGAGCACTTTTTGGCAGATCTCCAGATCCTTCTGTGCTCCGTCCAGGTCTTGTAGTCTTTGCTTGACGTTGGCGACGTCTGCGAGGGCGTAGATGTAAGCATCTTGGCTGTCGGGCTTGTTGACCTTGTCGGCCAGCGATGTGAGGAAGGAGAGGCGTTCTTTGTCATCTGTGTATCATCCCCCAGGCTTGGTCAGTTGGGGGGCGCTTCGGAAGCTACTGGGCGCAGGTAACAGACCTGCACACTCCGTCGATGCCATCAACCCCAGCGAGACGAACTTGAGCTGGTTGATTCTGTCGGCGAAGCTGAGGACGAAGTTCTTGAATATCGGTAGTCGCTGGGGACCGCTCTCTGGTAGCTGGAAGAATTCGATCAAGGAATCGGTAAGTTGGTGCCATAGCTTGCGCTCCCAGTAGTCTTCGAAGGTCAGGAACAAGGCCTGGCTCTGTTCGGGAGCTTGCTGGAGCTGGTCGGCGAGGAAATCGGTGATCCTTTGGTTCTCCATGATGGAACCGGGGGATGCTGGGATGTGGGACAAGGGTAGGAGAGAGGAATCAAGAAGAGTCAAGGGTCGTGAGAGGTTGGGGGTACGTCAATCGGAGATGGGGAAGATAGAAGGAAGCTGATCTGAAGGTGGCAGCGCAGCGGAGCTGAGGTGAACATCCGCCTTGATGCTCGGGCGGTGAGGCACATGACATCGATCCCCATCTACATCATCATCATGGTCATCAATCTCAATATCATACAAAGCTTGAATATCTTCCGGCACTACTACTTTGTCCTTGTACCCAGAGCATTTTTGGGCTCTTAGGATGTATAGTAGCCCTTGGTATGGGTTTAACTGAAACACTACTCGCTTGGACCAATCCAGACATGAGTCTGTACTGTAGCCTCAGAATGGTAGCAATAAGTGTCCGATATCTCTCCGAGCAGCCCTCTGAGCCATCTACAACTGGGGTACCCAAGGATTTTTTTTTTTTTGGCTCAGAGAAAGGATATAAATATGGGCGTCTTGTTCTCTTCGTAGAATACTTTTTCTAACCATCAATCAATCCCGTTTCTCCTGTCTTCTATCAATTGTTTCAGGTTACTGTCCATTCAACACCATCATTATGTCTGACTTCACCGAGAAGAATCGCCAGTACTTCGAGTAAGTGACAAGCTCCTGGGGTATACAAGCAATGTTCTCATGCCTTTTATAGCAAGATGGCTAGTACATACAATGACGAGTTTAAGGAATTCATTGAAAAGAATTGCACAGAGATTCTTAGCCGCCGTGCGTGGATCAGTGATGCCTGGACCGACACCGAGCCTGGCCAGGGTAGGGAGATCAAGATGCTCGAGTACGCCTGCGGACCGGGTCCTATATCCATGGTAGCTTCCCAACCCTACCGCGTCAACTGTCTCGAAGAAACGAAGCTGACAACCCACAGACTCTAGCTCCCTTCGTAAGCAAGATCATCGGCATGGATATTTCAGATGGCATGATCAGCGAGTTCAACAAGAATGCGAAGGAGGCGGGCTTAGCAAACAAGATGACTGGAGTTAAAGCTGATCTTCTCGCCGAATCTGTGGCGGAGGAACTCTCCGCAGATGAATACACCAATTTCGACCTTGTGGTGGTCAGCATGGCGCTGCACCACTTTGAGAACCCCGAACTGGCCTTGGCGCGGTTGAGTGAGCGCCTCAAGAAAGGAGGTGTGCTTTTGGTCCTCGAGATCCTGGCAGCAGGGGGCCACCACGGCCATCACGGCCATCACCATAACCACCACCACCATGACGAGCAGCATGATTCAGCTCATGGGAAGCTTGACTTTGGCGACGCTGAACACACAATCGGCAGCCATGGGTTCACACTCGAGCAGATTCAGCAACTCTATGAAGAAGCCGACGTGGGCCTGAATTTCCAAAGCGAGGTGTTGGAGCATAAAATGGCATTCAAGATTCATCAGAAGCTGCCGAAAGCCCTATTCCTTGCTCGGGGGCAGCGCTGCTGAACAGGTTTAGTGATCGAGTTGCAATTAGAAGAGTAATGGACTGAAAGTGATGTGTGCCTTGCGTTCTCCAGTTTGTGTACTTTATTTCCTTTCTTTTCGACATCAGACCAGGAGGTACCGAGTAGTCTAAGTTGTGTCGTAGTAGTTGCAGGTGCACCATGACGCTGTACGCCAGTCAACCAATCATGTTTCGCGAATAGTCAGACGCGATCCGGCAGGAGATCAAGTGTTCGGGGTTGGAGTTGACCGTGACAACTGGTCGGATGGATAATTACTCGAGATGCTGGGGTAAGGCGACTGTAACATCATCAATCCACACATTGACAGTCATTTCCAGAGCATTGTAGGCAGCGCGGAGGGAAATCGGACAATCGAAGAAGTTGCAAATCGGCCAGGGAGTGGACCGAAAAGGGACTAGCGTCAAGTCCCGTGCCCGCTCCAAGGTTATTCTGGACAGCGACTTTCAACATCTACCAGCTGTGAGCACAAGTCCTGACGTCGAGCTTGGCTCTCTCCCCTCTACCACCCCATTGTCCATCGCCAACCACCGATCCGGACGCCTTTCGGTGGTCTCATCACATTCGCAAGCAGAATTGAGACCATGCAGAGCTGCCGGGCCGCCAATTCCGCCATGGCCTCGAGGGCCTTCGCCCCCGCCCCTCGGGTTCAATTCCAGTTCCAGCGCCGGAATCTCCAGGATGTTGCCATTACTCGGACCGGAAAGCCCATCTTGAAGGTTCAAGGTGGACGGTAAGAGCGCATTCACTGGAGTTATGGTCTTGGGATGATGCTAACGTTTGTCTCCCGCAGGTCGTCTCTGGGAGGTACTTCGCCCTTTGCTCGTGTCATTATCCGCTCGCGTCGGCGCCAGAAAGCTCATATCATCTAGGTCACACCGCCACTGTCTTCGGTGCTACTGGTTTCCTCGGTCGTTACATTGTCAACAAGCTCGGTAGGTTGGGTCCATGGTCGATGAAGAAGAGCTAGAGATTGACGCCGATATAGCTCGTCAGGGATGCAGCGTGGTTGTCCCCTACCGTGAGGAGATGACGAAGAGACACTTGAAGGTCACTGGTGATCTCGGTCGGATCACGTTTATTGTATGATCCCTTCTTTTGAAGCATGGTAATCGAGTCTCTAATTCGGCGGTCTGGCAGGAATACGATCTGCGCAACACTCAGTCCATTGAGGAGGCTGTGCGCCACTCCGATGTTGTCTACAACCTTGTTGGTCGCCAATATCCTACCAAGTCAGTATCATAGGTCATTCATGAATGCGCCATACTAATCTACATAAAGGAACTTCACTTACAACGACGTTCACGTCGATGGAACGGAGCGCATTGTCGAGGCTGTTGCCAAGTACGATGTTGATCGATTCATCCACGTCTCCTCCTACAACGCTAGCCGGGACTCTCCCTCCGAGTTCTTCGCTACCAAGGTTCGTTGGTCGAGTGTATTTCGCGCTGGCTCGTAGGTGTTGACTGCTGCAGGCCTGGGGTGAGGAGATTGCTCGCTCTATCTACCCTGAGACGACTATCGTCCGTCCTGCGCCCATGTTCGGTTTCGAGGACAACCTCCTTCACAAGCTCGCTCGTGCGACCAACGTCCTCACTTCCAACCACATGCAGGAGCGCTACTGGCCCGTGCACGTAAGTTGCTTTCAGAAGGCTCTGGGGTGGGTCGTGCTGACAACATTCACAGGCCATTGATGTTGGCGCTGCTCTCGAGGCTATGCTGCACGATGACAGCACCGTCGGCCAGACTTTCGAGCTCTACGGCCCCAAGAACTACTCGACCGCCGAGATTGCCCAGCTGGTGGACAAGGAAATTGTCAAGCACCGCCGCCACGTGAATGTGCCCAAGGCCATCATGAAGCCCCTCGCCCACTACCTCAACAAGTACCTCTGGTGGCCCACCGTCTCGCCTGACGAGGTTGAGCGCGAATTCATCGACCAGGTGATCGACCCCAACGCCAAGACCTTCAAGGATCTTGGAATCGAGCCTGCTGAGATCAGCAACCTGACCTTCCACTACTTGGTAAGATTGTTCTTTCGTGAAGATGTGAGGAATACGGGCTAATTTTCGCAGCTTGGATACCGTAGCTCCTCCTACTACGATCTGCCTCCCGCGACGGAGCGGGAGAGACTGGAGGAGAAGAAGTACCTGCATGTTCTCGACGACCAGTAGTCTGTTTCTTTAGTGTACATACCATGCTAGACCCATTGATTTCCTTGAGTAGCTGCTTCAAAGTGTCTGTTAAGAGGTGTCTATTAATCCAGTATTCGTTACTCGTTATAACGCCTGATTTATCCACAAGAATCAACACTATTACGCATACAGATTGATTTACTTGTAGTACTCAACCTCTAAAACCAGTGGGAGGATCAGGAAACCTCGGCCGGGGCGCAAGCTCAGCTCCGCTCCGCTCCGCTCCGCACTCCGCACTCCTCCATCCACCAGAAACTCCTCTCCTCCCACCTACGATTGTCCCCAATTGCACCTCACTCACCCAAGAACAAACCAACCCCCCCCAAAAAACAAAAAAACAAAAACAAAAACAATGGCCGAGCAAGATCCGCGCACCCCGATCCTCCTCCTCAAGACCCGCTCCACCCCGCACGACGGCTACGACGACTTCTTCACGAGCCAAAACTACAACCCCGCCTTCATCCCCGTCCTGGAGCACCACTTCCACAGGCCCAACCTCCAACGCGTCCACGACCTGCTCGTGTCCGGGGGGTTCAGCGCGGGCCACCCCGCCCAACAATACGGCGGCATCATCTTCACCAGTCAGCGCGCGGTGGAGGGATTCGCCCAGGTCCTCGAGGGAATCGATGGTATGTTTCGTCCATCACCGTCCGTTGCGGCGCGGCGCAGTGGTGCAGTGGTGCAGTGCAATGCAGCAGTTTCCCCCACCACACCACCAGCATCCGCCCTCCACCTCCCTATATACCCCAAACACCACCCCACACCCAACGCAACCCACAACACAATCATCAACTAACCCAAGCCCCCAAGACCCAAAGGAACTAACCCCCCTCACCCTCCCCCTCTACACCGTCGGCCCCGCAACGCACCGCTCCCTCTCGACCCTGACAACCACCTACCTGCCCCACGCCACGCTGCACGGCCAGGACACCGGCACCGGCGAGGTCCTCGCGCAGTTCATCCTCTCGCATTACCCCGCCTACCCTTACAGCACCAGCACCAGCACCAGCACCAGCACAGCAGACCCCCACCACCACCACCACCACCAAACACCGCACGCACGGAAACCCCTCCTCTTCCTCGTCGGCGAAACGCGCCGCGACATCATCCCCAAGACGCTGATGGACGCGGCGCTGCGGCCCGACGCCCGGATCCCCGTGGACGAGCTGGTGGTCTACGAGACCGGGGTGATGGCGGGGTTTGAGGACGCGTTTGGGGAGCGGGTGCGCGCCCTCCAGACACAACACGAGCCGGTCTGGACGGTGGTGTTTTCGCCGACGGGGTGCGAGGCGATGGTGCGGGTGTTGGAGAACGTGGATGCGGCTTCGTCGTCATCATCGTCGTCGTTGTCGGTTCTTGGGGGTGGGTTGGGCGCCCGGGGAGAGCCACCGGAAGAAAGGCCCGAGGCCAACAACCGGAGATTCTTTGTGGCGACTATTGGTCCCACGACGAGGGATTATCTGAGGAATCGGGTCGGGTTCGAACCGGATGTCTGTGCGGAGAAGCCTAGTCCTGAGGGGGTCGGGAGGGGGATCCAGAGGTTTATGGAGGAGTATAGGGCAAGGAATACTGAGTAATCGGTCCCATTTACATACCCCAAAAAAGTAAGGGGGAGCACTGCGAGGGAGGTCTGCACCGCATATATACCCAAAGAGACGGTCTTGAGCTAGTTCGTCTTATGTACTGGACTGGACTGCATGTCAAGGCTACTCTGCTCGCATTATATCAAACAAGCTTAGATGCCCGAATCATCACATCAACTCCTTCCATATTCCCATAATGGCAGCATATCACTCAGGGTGGACCGCGCGAGCATTGTCCCTATCCTTTCCTTTCTATCCTTCATGTTATTATGTGCTCGAATGAAACCCCGTTGAACCTGAACAGGCACTGCCTTGTTTGGTTCCCCCGTACTATGGTATCTTAGCCGCTTCATATGCTCGTCAAGTTCTTTACCGCATGATCTCCTCGTATATCAAAACTGTCCAAATAGTTAGTAAAGCTCCACATGCGACAAAGTCTTCCGACTTACGCTTCAACTGCTCCTTGCTCAACGCATCCTTGTTCTTATCGAAATCAAAGAATCCCTCCGGAATTGGCGGTGCCGTAGGCTCATCCTCCGGATCGTGATACGGCTCCAGGTATGGATGACGCAGCGCCTCCTCCACCGTGATTCGCTTGGCCGGGTTAAAGGCAAGGAGCTTCTCCAACAGATCCAGGGCAAGGTCATTGCTCTTGGGGAACATGGCGCGGAAGGGAATCTTCTTCTTGAACGGGAGAGATCGGATGTATTCGCGAGCCCGTCGGGACTTGATACCATAGTAGTCTTCCATGGTTGGTGTTCCGAGGACATCAAGGATAAGAGTCAACTGGTGGTGGTCTGTCTATTGTCAGAATAGCTTATCAATTGCGGCGCCGGCATTGTGGTACTCACAGTCCTTTCCAGGGAACAGGGGCTTCCCACTCAGCATTTCAGCCAGGATACAGCCCACACTCCACACATCAATCGCCTTGGTGTATTCCTTGAACGTCAACATGATCTCCGGCGCACGATACCACCGCGTGGCCACATATTCCGTCATGAAACCCGAGTTGTCATCCGTCGATGCAGCAGACCGAGCCAAGCCAAAGTCACAGACTTTCAGGTCGCAGTTGGCATTCAGAAGAAGATTGGATGGTTTGAGATCACGGTGCAGAACGTTCGCCGAGTGCATAGCCTTCAGCGCGCGCAAGGTCTGGTAAATGAAGTATTGGCAATGGTCGTCAGAGAGGTCTTGAGTACGGATGACACGGTGCATATCCGTCTCCATCAATTCCTGTTTCAATCAGTCGCTGGGTCCTCCATGTTGCATGACTTCTCAATTTACCTGGATCAGGTACACCTCGTTGAAGCTCTCGTAATTCCGAGGCCGCTGGATATCCAAAATAGAGATAATGTTCTCGTGGTTGAAATACCGCAACAGCTTCATCTCACGTAGGGTTCGCAGACAGAACATGGAATGGTCGAATGGTGTAATCTTCTTGATGGCGACCTTCTGTCCGGAAGGCTTGTGAATCGCGGAGCTGAGGCCAATTAGTTGTCGGCTACAGCGCTCGTTCATCTGACCAAACTCACCAGACAACGCCATAGGCGCCCTCTCCGATGACATCTTGAATCTCATATTGCTCCGAGACATTGAAGGAGATCTTGCGTGATCCTCCTTGAGGAGGCATTTGTTGCACCATGGTGACAGTTATGATAGGAATTCTAAGCAAAGGTCAGTTCATGCCGACCAAAGCAGGCGTTTTGTGTGATGAACCCCGCGCCAAGTGATAGTCCAGCTCATCGCTGAGCTGCCAGCCTAACGCTGAGGAGGAGGGCTGTGGCAGGTCAACGGCCCCTAAGCATCGCACTGATGGTGGGCACGGTTCGTCACATGCAGACAAGTAGCGGATCGCCCACGAGATAACGCTTAGGGCCCATCACACATTCAAGCAACAAACACATGGCGTAGCGCTTACCAGAAGAAGCTGGGTTGGAGCGCAGTTGGAGCCTAATTACAACAAATCCGCATGCCAGGGTGTATGCGCTGGACGAGTGACCGTTGTCGGGGAATCGTGGAAGATCGGGAGCGGGGTACAGCGCGTGTCTGCAATCGAACCGGAAAAGGAAGACGCACGCACGCTGGTCTGCAGAAGTTCCGGAGTAACGTTTATCTTGAAAAGGAAATGGCGAAGGAACTCCAGGTAGGATCACGATCCAGGGGCGCAGATGGTGATCAAAGGAACAAATGAACTGCCCACACGGCGCTTAGATCGATCCACGTCACTGATGACGACCTGGACCACAAAAAGATGAGCTTGTCAATTATCCACAACAGCGACAAAAAGGACTGAAGACTGGGCCCTATTAAAGGTTCCTTGTAGAGGATTAAGAGAGAGGGCAAGAGAAAAAGGAGAAGCTTACCAGTCGTGAGGAGAGAATTGGGTTACTGGTGCTGGTGTCTCACAGGCCGGTTTCTATTTTTGGGACGGTCTGTCTTCCAGGTGTCTTCTGTCCTGGTTCTAGATCGACAACAGTGGTCAGTTTCGAGATTCTTTTGGCTAAGATACACGCGAAGCAACAAAAAATAGAGGAAAACCAACCCACGGCGTTTCGACGGAGAGGGGGGAAGAGGGGGGAGGGGGGGGGGGGAGTAGGATAGTGGGATAGTGGATGGGGGACGGATGACTAGGAGTAGGAATAGGAAGTAAGAGCAGGCGAGGGAAGGTAACGAACGACGGACAGACTAGCAGTTGGCGGTGGTTGTGGAGGGGTTGGAAGTCTTGGAGAGTGTGAGAGAGTGAGAGAGCAGAGCAAATAGTGGCAGTCGTGGAGGGGAACTAGTGTCCGTAGTGGGAAAGTTAATCACCCGCAAGTGGGGAGACAGGGAGGCTGTTGAAGATGAAAGAACGCGATTCACCTTGAAGCAACAGGCAGAACAGGAATGGAGGGCAGTGTGAGATTCCTAATAATAGGAAAGTAGAGGATAAAAAGAGTTCAGTGGAAAAGAGGAACCGAGGAAGAAGAGGAGGGAGGAGAGGAGAGAGGGGGGGAGAGAGAGAGAGCGTGTGTGGGAAGTGGGAAGTGGGAAGTTGTGTACCTGAATCGCCGTGGAGCAATAATAACTGGGGGGGAGGGGAAGGTCAGTTATCGATACGGAGGGAGGCAGCAGATAAGAAAGACCCATGGACAGTTGAGGATAAAGATAGTCAGTAGGAGGTGACTGGCACTGACAGCAATGGTCTGTTCCAACTAACAACGCTTCTCAAAAATAAGAAGAATAATAAGGATAGTGGGAGGCAACAATAAGAATAATGATGAATCCAGATGAAAGAGGAACCTTGGTTGAAGAGACGGAGGGGCCGCTGCAGTGGAAATCACCACCGGGGGGAGTCTGTGGTACGGTTTTTGGGTGGTTTTGGTTCCTGATCCAGAAATGCTGCCAGCATTATATCTACTCAGTAAATCTACACCATCAAGTCTGTCTCTTGCTCAAGGACCCTCGAGAAACCAAATCAAAGCAGATTATCTCATCAATCACAAACCAACATCATCTCACAGCGGATACAGCAGTCACTGAGCCACTATCCAACTGCAGCCCGAAGGGACTCTGCAATAACCCCAAGCAGACAATGCAATCACCCCCTCAATAAAGCCCGGTCTGAATAGCTCCATTTGTGTGGGGAGCGCGAGAGCGCAAGCAATGAACCAGCAACCAACTCCAGCAATCAAGAACCAGACAGCCACACGCCAGAAAATAAGACTTGAAGAAACGCCCGTCTCAGTTCCAACTTCCAAGCTTCCTGACGAGCTCCTCTTTCCATCCTGTCATCTCACGGCACCTGATGGCAACTGTCAATCCCCAAGAAATCACGTCTGGACCAGTGTTTCAACCCCCCCCCACGAGAGTGACGAGACGCAATTCCCTCCCCTCCCAGTCCCAAAACCCGCCACGGGCGCCAATCTCTGGCAGTTTCACCGTCTCTCAGACTCTCTCCCTGGCCCACCCAGCGCTACTCAAACCGGCTTAGTCGATGAAATCCCAGGTCAAATCCCCCCCCCCCCACTCTTTCCCTGGGCCCAGGGATCTGCTTGCTCTTTGCCTACTCTCCGTACTCCGTACTGTGACCATGATCCATCCATCACCGTGGCCTAGCCGCACAGATAGATTAGTACGCTCGTCTTATTACTTTTCTTCCAGGAGAGGAGGAGGGGCAGTGCTGTGCAGTGCTCTTCTTCCGTACCGGTCGACCAGAAACAAAACTACTGTGTGCTACTCAACTTGATCACAACCCCCGTTCATCAAATCATCATCTTCAAGTCAAAGTCGGCCCATCACTTTCTCTGAGCCCCTTCATCATCATCCCGGGAGAGGATCCATCAACTTAACTGCAGTTGGCTCGGGAGGCTCGAATGTGATGGACCGTCCGTCAACTTGCAGCCGGCTCTGGCAGCAGTTGTGTGATCTAAAGCTTACTGTGCATGGGCTGACCTGACCACTGACCACAGGCTTACTGAAGTTATTCAGGGCCCATGCAGCCCGAAAACGCCCTCACTCGCCCGAGGTTAGCACTATTCCCTAATCAACCAAACCAACCAACCACCAAGCTCGTACCCATGTCAGAGCCTCGGATCACACATTCGTATTTAGCGGTTATCGGGATGGTTGGTGAAGTTAGCATTGTGACCATCCTGATGAAATAATCTGTAGAAAACAATAAACAAGTCTACAAAGTGCTGGACAATGCATAGCTTCAACGCCCACGAGGGCGTACTTGATTAGCGAGCACATGGCTCGATATGCCGAAAAAAGGCGTCGGATCCATACACGACACCCCAACAGGCCCAACATCAACCAACCACAAGCTCCACTGAACTTTGTTGCCGGCTCTCATCACTCAAGCCAATAAAGAATAACCCCTCCAATCGAGTCCGCCACCCGAGCGAGCGCTGAAGAGAAAGCAGAAGAGAGGGGCGAAATAAGATTTTGACATAATCACAGAAATTGTATTGATGTATCTTTGGAAATGATTTACCAGTAAGGGAGAAACTATC